CCCCCCCCCCCCCCTTGCTCTCGACTGGCGCCGTGCTCCGCTCGGTGTCATTGGTCACCCGGTGCCGCTGCGCCCATCGTCGTGACCCCGGCGCCCAGTCCCCGGGGCTATGGGGTGTGCTGTGCCCATCGTCGTTACGCCCGCCTGCTCCCGTCGCTCGCCGGCTGGTGTCTCGCCATATACCCACCCGGGGTCGTGTCACGCCCCCGGTGCCGCCTCGCCCATCCCACGTCGCTACGCCCACTCGGCCGGATTGCCCGGCCGGCGTCGCGAGACCGGCCCAGTCCCCCGGTGCACACCCGCCTGGTGCTATGACCTGCCCCCCCAGGCTCGCTGGTCGACCGGCGTCGATGTACACCCAGCGCTGCTGGCCGCCCAGTCGGATGATTCGACTGGCGTCGTCGTCGTCCACTCGGTCTGATTATGGTTATGGGGTTATGGGGTCATGGGGTCATGGTTAGTCTCGCTGCCCACCCGGTGTCGTTGGCTATGTGGTTATGTGGCTATGTGGTTGTGTGGTTATGTGGTGGTGTGGCTGTGCCCCCGCGCGAAAGACACTCGCTCCCGGTGCTTCTTCACCCCGGTCCCCTGCTATGGCCGGGGCCCTTTCTCGCGGAGGCCTTCCCGTGTCAGACGTCCCCCCCCCCCCCCCTGGCCAGGCGAGAGTCAGCGTGGCAGTCCTCCCGACGCCGGAGAGGGCGCAGGGAGGGGAGGGGGGGGGGGCGGGTCAGCCCTGGTCGGCGTTCCCATGGCCCATTGGGTCGGTCCCCTCTCCCGGCGCGCCTGCTTCCGCCCCCGGGGGCCGAGGGCACACATGAGGGCGTGTTCTCTCCCTCTCTGCCACTGCCGCCGTGTCCCGGGACCGGGGGTAGGGGAGTGGTGGGGTGCCTCTGGCCACGCGCGCATGTGTGAGCCATTTTTGGTCCTCCTCGTGGAGGGCGGGCGGGCGGGCGTGTGGGGGGGGGGGGGGGGGGGGGGTCGAAAGGGAGGGGGCTCTTCCATGCCTGCGCGGAGGCACTATGCAGCGCGAGTGATGGGATAGTGGTGGTGGGGGGAGGGCTCTGCCTGTGGCCGGGGAATATGCCTGGGGGCATTTTTTTTATCGCCCATGACTCGGGGGTGGCCCGCGTGCACGCGCGCACATAAGGGGCGGGGCCGGGTCCTGCCTCGGGGTCGCGCGCGCGCGCGCGCGCACCGCATCCACGCACACACACACATACATATATATAATATATGTATATACATATATATTTTATACGCGATATGTGTGGTGTGCAGTGGCCCCCCCCCCCCCCCGGGGGGACATTCGGTGGGAGTCAGACCCCGATCGATGGACGGGCAGTATGCCTTGCTAGCGGGCTCATGCGGCTTCCGCCCCGGAAGAGCCTGCGGTCTGTCTGTGTGCCGCGAATAATTCCCCGGGCTATTTGCCCCGCGTGAAACACCGGTCGGCGGACTGGAGCGGTGTCCCCCCCCCCC